CCCCCCCCCCCCCCCAACCCCCCCCAACCCCCCCCACAAAGAGATGCGCCTATTCGGTCCTCGCGGAGCATCTCAGACACTGGCCGCGCTTCTTTCTGAACTGCAGCGAGCGGTTGTTTCAGAGGTCGCATGGCTTGCCCACAGAGCGGGTAGCGCCCGCGATGAGTCTGGTAGCGGAGCATCTCAGACACTGGCCGCGCTTCTTTCTGAACTGCAGCGAGCGGTTGTTTCAGAGGTCGCCTGCCCGCCTCGCGCAGTGCGGAGGTCGGTAGCACCCGCAATGAGCCCAGGCCCAGGTCGCTTGCCCGCCTTGCACAGTGAGGAGGTCGGCGGCACCGCACTACTGGTGTTGGTTCCAAAGCCTCAAGCCTATCCCGGTCTGAGAGCCTTTGCCACCACGCCGCCAGACGTGTGGCTCGAGAAGCAGACGCCATGGCCAGTTCCCAGTCATCCTCGTCGTCTTCCGAGGAGGAGGTGGAGGTGGCGGAGCCAAAGCCAGACTGGCTAACGACGGAAGACGCCTCCGCGCGAAGCCTCGTCTTCCTCATCACTTTTGCTGGCATCTTGGAAGAGACTGCGCTGAAGGCGGACAGACCACTCAGGACTCTAGCCGACCTCACACGTGCAGACATCAAGGATGCCGTTCTGGACGCCGTGGCGAATCCCACACAGGAGACATCCCAGCAAGGTGGCCGTCCTCGGTCGAAGTCGCTGGAGCCACAGAAGCTGGTGGTCTTCCTTGAGGAGCCTCGCCACTTCCATGTTGCGCTGCGGCTGAATGCCATCACGCGCTTCCTCCCTTTGAAGATGTCCTTGCGTCAGCGGTCAGGCCTGGCATCCCACTGGAGCACGTCGCACACGCAGTGGTGGAGCGCAGTCCGGTATGGTGTTTTTGCCACAGAGCACAAGCCCGTCGTTGACCAGCAGCCACTAGTGTGGGTGAAGGCAGGCGGGGCGCTAGAGCCGGTGCAGGCTGGTCCTGGGCAGTGCCTGGAGCACAAGGTGGCAGGAACGGACAGGGTCGCTGTCAACCTCTATGAAGAAGCGCAGGAACCGTTCAATGCTGCTGTCTGGACCAAGCGCCGGCAGAAGGCGGAAGCGGCAGCTGGCGGCCAGATGGTGGCCTCGGCAACTGGCAAGAAGGCAAAGGTGGACAAGTTCACCCCGCTGGACTTCACGGCCCTGGTTCTGGAGAAGAGTCTCTGGACCCCCAACGCCGTCATGGCGTACGTCCAGGAGCATGGCTCCCATGCAGCGCAGCTGTACTGCGTGCGGAACCAAAAGCGCCTCGAGGACCTCATCTCGGGCGCACAGGCGTGGAGGGATGCCAGGCGGCAGCATGTGCTCGAGCAAGAAACGGATTGGGCGCTGCTTCATCGGCTCGCAAGTGGGTCCTGCTGCTGCAATGGAACCTGCAAGTGGCTGGCGGCAGCGCGGGATTTCTTCCGCAGGAACCAGGCGACGGTGGACCCAGGCCTGCTCGCTGCGAGCGTTGCCAATGTCATCCAACACGGCCCCAGCAAGACAGCACGGGTCCCCTTGCTGGCTGGGGCCACGAATGCGGGCAAGAGTCTCATCTTCGACCCCGTCATCCAGGTCTTTGGGCGGCAAGGCATCGATTTCTGCCCAGCGCAGGGTGCCTCGATGGCTTTGAGTTCTTTGGCGACCAACACGCGCTTGCGATTCATCTATTGGGATGAGTTCTCGCCTACAGAGTTTGCCTCACGACCGCCCAAGGCGCCAACTGTCCCAGCAGTGACTTTTAAGAAGCTCTTCGCTGGGCAGTACTTCCGGATCCAGGTATCCCAGGCGCACCACGACGGCAACCCAGACTTTAGGTGGTGTCGTGGGGCCGCTCTGACAGCTCCTCTGGACGGACTGTGGGATGTGACAAGCCCAGTGACGCGTGAGGATGTCCGACACATGCAATCGCGCGTCATTCAATTCGATGCGCACGTGGTCATCCAAGGGCAGCTGGAGCCCATCCCGCACTGCCGCGAATCCTGGTGCAGATTCATCATTGACAACGCAGCTGCATACGCAGCGCGGCGCCAGCGCCAGGTGGGAGGAGTGGAAGTCGACGATGAGGACCTATGACATCGGTCTACCTCGTGTGCTAGAGCGCGAAGGCACAACGTCCCCGTGCCAGCCAACGCCTGCAAGCGTCTCTGACGCAGAAAAAAAGCGGGCGAGCGAGACCAAGTGCTCTTCTTGCGAGAGAACGCACCTAGGTACGTACTGTTGATGCTGGAAATCCTGCATGAGTTTCGAAGACAACCCAACCCTCCCGCCGCCCTGAATTTTAACATTGACAGGGAATCCAGTCCGAGAAATCCGGTAGCGCGAATCATTGAAATCCTGCATGACCCCAGGCGCCCAGTCAACACTGAAATTCAGGGGTGCGCAGGGGATGTGTGTACGCAGAGTGTTGTGTGGGTGGCTGGGGTCATGCAGGATTTTTATCATCCACCGTAGATCTTCAATTCTGTAGTATTTATGTATATATATATATACATATATATGGTCACCCCATGATCCAGGTTTCTCTTTGTTGCTCTGAAAACCCTCATATACACATATATATATATATATATATCTGTATATACATAGATATATATATATATATATGTATATTTATTTATTTATATGTATTTAGGGTTGAGGGCTCTTCGAGGCTTTAGAGTTGAAACTGACGTTGGGGTCATGAGATGCATTCCTACTTCTTCCATACCACCAGCAATCACGAGTAGGGACGGACCGACATGGGCCTTCCGCACGCGCCTGCGCAACCCCTAACCCTGAATGAGCCGCAAAACTACCCAAGAGCCCCAAACCGGGCCCTTAAACTCCAAACCCTAAACGCTGCACCCTAAAACCCGTGGTGGCGTAAGACCTTAGGCCCTGAACCCTAAACCCAAATGCACAAGAACTAAACCCTAAACCCCCAAACCCCTAAACCCCAAACCCCAAACCCTGAAACCCTGAAACCCTGAAACCCCAAATCCCCCAAAGCCCCCAAACCCCCCAAACCCCCCAAACCCCCAAACCCCCAAACCCCCAAACCCCCCAACCCCCCAACCCCCCAACCCCCCAACCCCCCAACCCCCAAACCCCCAAACCCCCAAACCCGAAACCCTAAAGCTTCTTGTTTGTTTGGAACCCTAACCCCGAAACCCTCTTTCAGTCGGGGCTCGGCGCTCAAAGTTCGGACCAAAGCTGTACAGGTCAGCGTGCAGCGGCCCATGTTCCTTTCCCATCTGGTTCGGGGCTTAGGGTTTAGGGTTTAGGGTTTATTTAGGGTTCAGGGTTTAGGGTTTAGGGTTTTTTGCCTAAACCCTATACATGACTAGTTCTCTGAACTAGGGTGCCTTTTGGGGTCCTAACTGCCTCATAATAAGGACCCCCCCCCCTCCCAAAGTATTTAGAGAACTACCCAAATCCCAACAGATTAGGGGTTCAGGGTTTAGCGTCTTGTTAACTCAAGAATTCCTCCCCCTAAACCCTAAACCCTAAACCCTAAACCCTAAACCCTAACTTCAAAGTACTACTAGAAGTCGGCCCTCTGCGTATGAAGTGTCACTCGACAAGTTGATGCCTCTGACGCCTAGACCCTAGCCACTAAACCCTAAACCCTAAACCCTAAACCCTAAACCCTAAACCCTAAATCCTAAACCCGAACCCTGAGGTACTCAGAAAGGGACCATCACTTCGAAAGCTTACAAGGGCATCCTACAGTGCTTACGCCTTACACTCTGAAACCCGAACTCTACACCCAAGCGTTTTGTGGGTTTATTTAGGGTCGGGGGGCTTTGGAACCTCCAAACCCAAACCCTAAACCCTAAACCCAAAACCCTAAACCCCTAAACCCTAAAAAGCCAGCTCAAGACCCTGGCCTGCCAGGCTCGCTTCAGGAGCTCCTCATGGGCCTCCCAGAACCTGAGCTTCATCCCAGGGTAAGGGTTTAGGGTTTAGGGTTTAGGGTTTAGGGTTTAGGGTTTAGGGTTTAGGGTTTAGGGTTTAGGGTCTAGGGCCAGTCTAGGGTCTAGGGTTTTGGGCATAGGGTTTAGAGTCTAGAGTTTAGGGTTTGGGGTTTTGGGTATAGGCTGTTTTTGGCATTTTAGGCTTATGGGGTTGAGTTTCAGGATGATTCGGGTCTTGAAGGTTGTCAGTCACGACCCTAAAGCAAGGGATAAGCCAAGGTGCTGCATCTTGATTTGGGCTTGATCGGGTTGACCGGGTGTAGTTTTCGTGCTTAGAGTTTAGGGCTTCGAGTTTGAGACTTAGGGTTTGGGGTGACAGGGAATCTAAGTCTTACAAGCTTGAAGAAGGCCTTGAGCATCAATGGGTACACGGCCTTGGCTTCATGGAGTTTACAAGGGTACCCTGCCATATCAAGCATGGAAGAAGGGTTCACAGGGGTCCTAGCATGTCAATGCTGCTTGCACTTACCGTTTGTGACACCCTAAGGCCCCCAAAACCCCTGAAACCCGGAACCCTTTCCTGCTTCGTCGAGGTTTAGGGTTTAGGGTTTAGGGTTTAGGGTTTAGGGTTTAGGGTTTAGGGTTTAGGGTTTAGGGTTTAGGGTTTGACCCAAGAAGGGACGACCAGTGACCACATCTCAATCCTTCAAGCCCTAAACCCTAAACCCTAAACCCTATGTTCTCCAAGAAACTCGCCCCCTTCGAACTCGCCGTCTTTCTTCTTTGTCACTTTTGGGCCAACCAGCTGCCGAGCAGCCTCGAAGTCAGTTCAGGGTTTAGGGTTTAGGGTTTTAGGGTTTGGGGTTTAGGGTTTAGGGTTTAGGGTTTAGGGTTTAGGGTTTAGGGAGTAGGGTTTTGACTTAACGTGTGTGTTTGGCGTGTGCAAGCCTTGGGAAGCCGAACACACTAAAGCCCAAGCGGGTGAACCCCAAACCCTAAACCCTCTAGACCAAAAGAGTCCTGTTTTGTCTGTTCGAGATGAACCGTCCTGCCGGGTGTTGCAACCCCACACACCCTAAACCCTAAACTCAACCCTAAACCCTAAACCCTGCCCCTGGATGTGGCGGTAAAACGGCTTCGGATTTGGGATTTTGCTGTGTCTTCATGGTTCGGCTGAACCCGAAACCCTAAACCTCTGAGCGTTTTATGAAAGATGGGTAGGGCAACGGCTTAGAATAGATAACTTAGGGCTTAGGTTCGTTAATACGGCCCAAAGTGATTAGGGTTTAGGGCTTAACAACATTTAAACCTTAAACCCTAAACCCAACTGCTAAAGATGCACCCGCCATCGCCATGGTCGTCGTTCTGTAGAAGCTTGAGACCCATACGCATGCAGGTTTTTGGTTGGGGGGTGCTTCCATATTTTTGCTACAAGTGGGCCCTCTGCTACCCGAAACCCTAAAACACAGGTTTCAAAGGGACCAATCCCATAAACGGGAGACTGGAGAGCAATTGGCACTGGGCATCCTGGTCAGAGAAATCCCCACCTGAACCTAGGGCTCTCTAAGTACACAGACGAGCCTGGAGCACACACCGCAGCTCGCACTGACCCTAAACCCTAAACCCGAAATCCGAAACTAGCCCCAAACCCAAAACCCTACATAGCCTAAACCCTACATAGCCTAAACCCTACATAACCTAAACCCTAAATAGCCAAACCCGAAATACCCTAAACCCTATCTTCAAGCGGATGCCGTGAATCCCGGCAAAGCCCCACAACGACTCAAACAGAGAGAGTGAGAGAGAGAGAGAGTGTGTGCATACATTTCATACATGAAGCTGAATAGGCGTAGAGTTTAGGGTTCAGGGATTAGGGATTTCAAGCGTCTGCATCAGGTGGAGCCCTCACGGCGCCTCCAAAGCGCTGCCTGCAGGGGAGAACGGCGGCAAGGAGCCACGACCTGGAAACCAAAAGCCTAAAAACCTAGGCCCAGGAGTAAACTAGGAACCAAAAGGGCACCCTTTTCGGTTCAATTGAAGGGGCTTTGATGAGAGGAACCCTAAAAAAAGTGAATAAGGACCTACCCTGGGTCCTAGAAACCCTGAGTTATGCACTTCCCAAGAAGCCATGAGTTAGATAGTTAGATTGCTTCCAGAAAACCCTGCATGAAACCCTGGAACCTTCAACCCACGAGTCCACGAAGCACACTTCCGTCGACGCCCGAAGAATCCGCAGTGAGCCTTCTTGGCTACAGGACAGCAGCAGGAGGGTGCGAGTGGCGAGACGTCGCGCCATGGCTCCAGTGCGAAAGACGGCTTAGGGTTTAGGGTTTAGGGTTAGGGTTTAGGGTTTAGGGTTTAGGGTTTAGGGTTTAGGGTTTAGGGTTTAGGGTTCAGGGTTCAGGGTTTAGGGCTTCAGGATCTTACATGGGGACCTGTCACAAGTAAGAGGTCCTTTAGATATCCTTGAAACTGTAAAGAGTATACGATCATAGACACACCCAGAAAAAGGGTCCAACTACATATCCCCCTATGGGCACTCATGCAGAACGTCTGTCAGGTCCTAAACCCTAAACCCTAAACCCAAAACCGGGGTCCATAAGTCGGGGTAACCTCAGCGATCTCCTCGGACCCCCAGTCGGCCCATATCCCCTTTGTGCAAGGGCCTAAGCCCCTTTTGAAACCAAAAAAGGGTACCCTATTCCTAGGTTACTCTGGGTCTAGTATCTGGTTAGATACTTAAGTTCAAGCCTTCCTGATACCTACCCTAAAGCCTAAACACTGGACAGGGAAGAGCGGTTTAGGGTGTAGGGTGTAGGGTTTAGGGTTTAGGGTTTAGGGTTTAGGGTTTAGGGTTGGGGTTAGGGTTAAAGGTTTAGGGTTTAGGGATTAGACGTCTCATCTGCCTGTTCAAGGCTTCATTCGTCTGGGCACAAGCCAGAGAGCCCAATACCCCGCAATGAAGGAATATATAACTAAACTATATAGGGGTCATAGCAATGATCCCCTAAACCCTTAAACCTAAACCCTAAACCCGTTTGGGCTCACCCGAAAATCGCGGCCGCCCGCCACTTTGTTCCTCACCCTGCCAGGAAGGCCTCCGCTGGCACATCTCTTGGTGCAGCCACTCAGCCAGCCGTGTGTGACCTGGCAGAGGCGGACGGAACCCTGAATCCCTAAGTCCGAAACCCTGAGCCCTAGACCCTAAACCCTAAACCCTAAACCCCTAAGTCCTAAACCCGAAACCCTAAGCCCCAGACCCTAAACCCCGAAACCCCAAAGCCCAGCTGCCCCAAGAGCCCCTGTGCTGGCCTCGAAACCCTTCATGGCAGAAGCTGGGAGCTTCGGCGGCGTCCGAGAGGAGTTAGGGTTTAGGGTTTAGGGTTTGGGGTTTGGGGGTTTAGGGTTTAGGGTTTAAGGGTTTTAGGGTTTTAGGGTTTTAGGGTTTAGGGTTTAGGGTTTAGGGTTTAGGGTCTAGGGTCTAGGGTTTAGGGTTTAGGGTTTAGGGTTTAGGGTTTAGGGTTTAGGGTTTAGGGTGCGAGAAAGTGGAGAGTCCTTGAAAACAGGAGCCACCCTGCCGGCAACCCTGATGAAAAGGATCCTGATGCAGACTACTGCTCCCCTCGGCCCTCCTGACAGGGTTTAGGGTTTTGTTTTTTGGGGTTTAATTAGGGCTTAGGATTTTGGGGTTTAGGGTTTAGGGCTAGTTTCTGTGCAGAGAGAGCTAGGTAGGTTTAGTTTAGGGCTAGTTTCTGTGCAGAGAGAGCTAGGTAGGCCGGTAGGAAGTTGTGTATTTGCCCCGTCTTGGGTAAACCCTCAAACCCTCAATGACCCCTAAACCTCCAGGCCTGCAACCTGAACACAATGCACCGCACACTTGTCCCTGAGCGCCCCAAGACTTCAGCTTACTACAAAGTTTAGGGTCTAGGGTCTAGGGTTTAGGGTTTAGGGTTCAGGGCCACACACACTCTCAAACTCAAAGCATGAAATCCTCCCTAAACCCTCAGCCGCACTCCACGGCCTACGGCCTTCAATGACATCCTGAACCGCATGAGTCCAACAAAGGTCTGCAAACCCCTTAAGGCCCACCTGAATCCCTACACCTGTAGGTTTGAGGTTTAGGCTTAGGGTTTCGGGTTGTGGAGATATGGGGGTTATGATTTTAAGGGCCCCTAGTATAGAACCCCCCCAACCACCCTCCGAGCCCGCCACAATGACCCTAAAGTGCCAAACTCGAAACAGAGTTTAGAATTTCAGGTTTAGGGTGCTTGGGGTACGGGGTTTAGGGTTTAGGGTCTCGGGTTTGGGGTTAAGGCTTTAGGGGTTCAGGTTTGGTGTTTAGGGTTCAGGTTCGGGGTTTATGGCGCTTGGGGCTTACGGTTTAGGCGTTATGCGCGCGTTGTGGGGCCAGGGCTTCAAGCTGTTCCGGTCGAAATTTCAGGGTCTAGAGTTTTGTCCTAACTTCACCCTGAACCCTACCTTCCCTAAGCCCAAACCCCAAACCCTAAACCCTAAACCCTAAACCCTAAACCCTAAACCCTAAACCCTAACCTCCCTAAACCCGTTCTTGCCTTGCTGCCGCGCGCGGTCCAGAGGCAGCTCATTCTCCCAGTCACGCTCGAAAAGCCTGGGCGTGATGGCTCTAGGTTTAGGGCTTAGGGTTTAGGGTTTAGGGTTTAGGGTTTAGGGTTTAGGGTTTAGGGTTTAGGGTTTAGGGTTTAGGGTTTAGGGGTTTCGGCTTTAGGGTTCAGGGTTCTAGGGTTCAGGGTTTAAGGCTGAGGGCCTCGGGGTGTTGGGTTTAGGCTGTAGAGTTGCGTTCGGGGTAAGGCGTGTAGCTGGGTGCATGTAGTAGCCTAGACCGAAGAGTAACCTAGGCAAAAAGGGCGCTTTTTAAAGGGGATTATATGGGGCCCTGAACCCCAATAAAAGGGAATAAGGGCCTACTCCGGGTCCTAGTAGCCCAATCCGCTTTCCTGTCAGGCAAATTAACCAACTGCTGCCGCCCAGACTGTTTTCACCGACCTCTTCCGAGACCCAGGAGTAACCTAGGAATAAAAGGAAGGGCGCCTTTTTGTTTTCAAGGGGGTGATAAGGGAACCCAAACCCGAAAAGCAGGGAATAAAGACCTACTCTGGGTCCAAGCTATCGAGGTGGGCGATGTTCGGAAGAGGAGGGTTAGCTTGAAACTGAAAATTGGAGGGTTGGGTCTTTCAAATGCGCACTGGTGGGCGGAACCCTGCAATAGGCCAATGGGAAAGCTCGTTGACCCTCGTGAAGCACATTTGCAATGGATTTCGACATCAATGAGTGGAGCCCCCGCTCCCCCCCGGAAAAATCGCTGCAAATGGGACGTGAGGGCGGTCTGAACGGCAGCGACAATCTTTTGACCCCAACACCCCACAAATCATTCTAACCTCTATAAACACTAGACATATGGGGCGGTTCCAGCAACAGGGTCTAGGCGGGTCTAGGGCTTAGGGTCCAGGGTCTACAATTGGGGGTGCCCTCTGTGGGCCTATTTCAAGGGTTATCGCACCTTGGCGGGTATAGGAGAAGGGTGTCCGCTGGTTAGGGACATACCCGTGTCAGACTTCGAGGAAGGGAGCTGTCTTTCTGTTTGGACACCTTCGCCACTTGTACGACATGCGAATGCACTGCGAGCAGATACCTGCCCTAAACCCGAAAATGTTTCAACCCATAAAGTTTCTAGTCCACAAGCGCCTGGCCCACAGAGCCCTTAAGTTTTCGGGAACAAGAACCTTGAGCTCATATACTCCCTAACCCATAAACCCTAAACCCTAAACCCCTGCTCCTTCAAACGAAGGCCAGCTGCAACGCCTAAAGTTCAACCATTCGCCAAGCAACCCAAAGAGTCGATGTGCCCGATCCGGGTTTAGGGTATATAGGGTTTGGGGTTTAGGGTTTAGGGGCCCACACCCTCCACCCTAAACCCCAAACCCTGAACTCTTAAACCCTAACGTGGACTCTTAGGCTTGAACCCTAAACCCTAAACCCTAAACCCCAAACCCCAAACCCCAAACCCTAAACCCTAAACCCTAAACCCTAAACCCTAAACCCAACACCTAGGGACTTTGGAGCTTTCTCTGGCGGCCGAAGAGCTGTGCTTCTACACCATCCAGGTTCAGCATCCAGGAGGCCAGCTTCTCGCTGTGTCCTGCAGGCCAGGGGTTTAGGGTTTAGGGTTCAGGGTTTAGGGTTTAGGGTTTGGGGGCTGTTTCGGGCTCAGTTTCGGAAGCCCAACAGGGACTGCATACGAGGACTCTCTTCAACCTCCCTAGAGCCTCCCACAAAGGCCCTTACCGACTATGGGTTTCCCTATAGGGACTTGTGACAACCGTTAGGGTTTAGGGTTTGGGGCTGTTTAGGGTTCAGGGTTAAGGGTTTGGGGTTTAAGCTAGAGGTTCTGTAAGCCCCTGTACACTCGATGCGCTGCTGGAGCTTTTGGAGTTGAGGCGGGGTTTGGTTCGAGGACGATGCTGCAGATCTTGGTGACGTTGAAATGAATGGGGGGGGGGTTCCGAAACTAGGGGTACCTTATTGGGGTCCTTATTATAAAGAACTCCTACTATTTGGGTCTTTATTAAGGGGTCCCTTATTTTCGTCAACTCCCAAATGAAGTAAAGGCACGCGACAACTTTTGTGGCTCAGAGTTTGAGGGCGAAGAGCGTAGGATGTTAGGGGCGCAACATAAGATTGCAATCTTAGCCAGAGGTGATCCAAAGCCCCGACCTCGCCAGGCGACCTTGTTCAGCACGCCGTGCCCATTCCTCGACTTCTAGCTGCCCACAACTCCAAAAAAGCCAAAACCCTAAACCCTAAACCCTAAACCCTAAACCCTAAATAGAAGGATTTTATGACAACTAGGATGGCCCATAAAAACCCTCCGAAATATGTTCCTGAATTCTTCAGGCCGCCGACTGTGGGTTGCGACAAGGCTTGGGGCTGGCAGAGCTTTCGGCTCAACAAGTAGCGTGGAGCATGGTCTGGGCGGAATGGGTTTGGTCTTGCGCCACTCCGCCCCAAACTCCAACAACTTAGTAGCCCAGTTTCCTCATTGTTGTCAGGACCCTTTTTTTTGGGGGGGGGGGGGCTGGTTACGTTGCAAGGGCACCCAGAACCCAACAAAAACGGGTAAAGGGTACCACTGGGCTACCGCAGGCTTCAATGGTGAGTCGCCTGTTTGTGGACGCGAAGTCCGCTCGCTTCTCGTGCAGCCACCTGAGCGCTGGGTTTAGGGTTTAGGGTTTAGGGTGTAGGGTTTAGGGTTTAGGGTTT